GCTCCGCGGGAGAAAGATGAGGCTTTCTACTCCCGTAAAGATTTACACCCTCGGAAACCCTGTACAGGGTCGCTATGGGTCGGAACCGACTCAAAGGCACTTAACAACAACAACAAAGCTGAGGCTGTAAAAAGCTCCAAAAACAAGTTTTCTGGGAAGTTCCAAAAGCCAAGTTTCCCCAAGGCAGATTCCAGGGTTTTGTCCTAAGAATAATAGGTGTCTGCCTTCTGGGATAGCCCCCAGGTGCAAAACCATTCAGCTAGGTGTCTTGCTTTCTCTTGCAAATCTCAGCCAGGCAGAGGACACAGCGGGACTCCTCCCAGTCCTTTTCACCTTCCCCCATTCAAGATTAGGTGCTATAGGTATGTTAATTAGCCTGGAGAAACCAGAGAAACCGAGTTGCTACCCTGGGATTCGAACCTGAAAATTACGATAAAAATTTGCTTGAATTTCTGGAAAATTAAGGAGGTTAGATTATCAAGACAATTTGTGATGTATGTTCTAGAATTTGATTCCTGTAAATCATTGTGTCCTGTGTTGAACGATTAATCACATTTCACTTCTGTACCCCGTCTTAATAAACCCCGCCTTCCTTTGTGTAAAGCTCTTCCCCGAAATAAAACTGGGGGCACAGTCCGAAGCCCGCACGCGTTACGACAGGCATGCGAGGTGTTACAGCTGGCAAGGCATGTGTTAAGGTCTGCAGGGCAGTGCTTTACTGCCTGCAGGGACCACGATGCCGGTAGTCCAGGGTCCACCTGCCAGTGTTGCATCCACTCTGGTTTCGGGGTGTTTTGTGTTCTCTCTCTTAGCGTCTTTGTGTGTATTCTTTCTTTATCTCTGTCGCCGCCAGATCTCCCAACTTCGTGAACCTAACCCCCTTGTAGAGGCTGGTCCTCGACAGTATGAGAGACAAAGTTTGGCAATCTTGGTCTCCAAGGAGCACTCTGGCTGCACTTCTTCCAAAAATGATCTATTGGTTCTTTTGTCAGCCCATGGCACTTTCAATATTCTCCCCCAACACCATAACTCAAAAGCATCAATTCTTTATGGTCTCCCTTATTCACTGTCCAGCTTTTGCATGCATATGAGGTTATTGAAAAGATCATGGCTTGGGTCAGACGCACCTTAGTCCTCAAGCTGACACATCTTTGCTCTTCAACACTTTAAAAA